TGAGATTTCTTGGAGTTTGCTTTTGAACTGGATTAGGTGCAAACTGCTCAATATTGGCTTGTCCACAGCTAAAGTTTCTGTAGTGATCTACACACCCAAAATTTAAAGAGATCCATTTTCTTATTTGCAGGGAAAAAGGTTAAGGCCATGAAATAAACTAAAATCTAAAAAAAACTAAAATAGTTTTTTTTCTGGTAACTTAGGATTTCTTTTATGAGGATATGGACCTTCTAACAGAGAAACTAAGAGCTCTGGCTACTGATGGAAACAAGCACCGTGCCAAAGTGGATAAAAGAAAGCAGCGATCTGTCTTCAGAGACGTTCTGCGGGCTGTTGAGGTGATTCTTTTGTCTTAGTTACAGTCTAGACCTTCAAAACACATAGTGTACAATTTAGTGAAAACAACTTATTCTTAAACAGAATTACTCTTTCAGTGAAAGAAGCAGGAAAAAGCTATTTTAAGTGAGATTTTGTCTCACTTATTTGTGATCACATATGTGGAATAGAACTGCTTTTTAGTAATGTTGAACAAAGTTACTGGGAATAGTTAAACATTATGGAAGTTAAGGAGAAGGCTTGGCATAATTCAAAGTCACCTCTGGGATTCTGCCTGTTAAAGGATCTGAGTCACGTATTAGCACTTATTACATTCCATTGTCCCAAATATCTGTAAGGTAGAGACTAAATGAGGCTTACAGTCTGATTTAAAGGTGACTTCTGCACTCAGAACTGGTTTTCCTGGAGATAAATCCAATTCTTAAAGTAATTTTAAAGATGAAAGTTGACTTTTTTAAAAAGCCTTTTAATCATGAAGAATATCAGCTTCAAGTTTTACATGAAATTTGACTGTAAGTATGCATCTGCTTTATGAACAAATACAATCTTTAGCATATGTATACTATGTTATTTGGAAGGTTTTGGTGTATCAGTCAAAATAAAGTTCACTGAGATGTATAAAATTACTAATACAAAAGACTGTTTAAATTGAAATTATAGGTGTTGTTTCCTTTGATTTTCACATAGGAGCGTGACTTCCCTACAGAGATGGTGAAGTTTGGACCTGAGCGCATGTATATTGACTGCTGGGTTAAAAAACAAACTTATGAGACGTTCAAGGAGGTTCTGGGGTCGGGGATGCAATACCATTTGCAGGTGAGTTGTTTTTGACATTTGCTCAGCCTGATCCTCTCTGTCTGGCTTCTTTGATGTAATTCAGTCTGAATTACAAAATCCTGACCATAACTTAGTGAAGTGATGAGCCTTGCATTTGAGGTGTTAAAGACAGCAGTTGAGGTGTTAAAGACAGCAGTTAAAAAATTAATTACAGTAAGCTGCAGCTGCCTGGGTAAGCTGCTTCTGAGTTGTAGCCTTGGGTGTGCTAGTGTAGTAATGGACTTCTCCAAGAAGTAAGAAATCTGAGTATCTTTTCAGCTTTGGGGTTTTCCCTGAATCCCCCGCTCTCTTTCAGCAGAGTGGTATAGTTGTCTGGCTGCTATAAAGCTGCTTATCTCCACCCTTCCTGTTCAAGCCTGTAAAAGAAAGGGAAAGTTTTAGTAAAAAATAATGAACACAACCCAATGGTGACAGCATTTCAGAGGAGGCGGTATGAATCTTCCTCTGTTCTGGGAAATGTTTGTTTACTGGTCTTCTGTTTACATGTGTAACAGAAGCAGGAGCTGTAACTTAGGAATATATACTCCCAAATTGCTGTGATAATCATGGGGTTAAAATCTTCAGCCCTGTGTTAATTGAATTTTTGTGTGACTGAGGGAGCTCAGGCATGTAGCAGGTTTTTCAGATTTCTCAAGTACTACTTTCACAGCCAGATATTTTAAAACTGGTGTGTTGTGAAGCCATACAGGTCTGTTCAGCTGCCTGATTTTGTGTAGAACACAACAGTGTCTCATTTGCTGGGTCAAAAATATCAAAGGAGGCATGAGGAGCTGTCTGTCTTCTCAAGGTGACTGTTTTCGCTTTTAGCCTTATTCTGGTTAAAGGAGGACGTGTTCTTGACTTACTTGCAAAAGATAGCAGCAATTTGACACAAATCTTAGTATTTCTTACTGGAATGCTTGATATTTTACAGTAGTCAACCTTAGAGACTTGATAATTAGAGGGGAAACTAATTATTTGGTGTGTTTCTTGTTTAGTCAAATGACTTTCTTCGGAATGTGTTTGAGCTTGGTCCACCAGTAATGCTGGATGCTGCAACTCTTAAAACAATGAAGATATCCCGTTTTGAAAGGGTAGGTTTTTGCCTAATCTTAATGAATTTTCTTTACTTCTTGTCTAATTACTCCTGCCTTTCAGAAGCTGTCATTGTTACGCTGTAGTTCTAAGAGTTCCTCATACTGTCCTGAGTGAAACCCAGCTTTTTTTGTATGCACCTATAAGCTCTTAAATTTTTCACTGGGCATGTCTCTGCTTCTGTATTTTTTCCAAGGGTTGCTGAAGGTTGATGTGGTTGCTGCTGGGTACTAGATTCACGCACCACACATATGAAACTTGGTCTCTTCTGAGAGCTTTTGGGGAGGGACCTACAGGAAACGGAGTCTTTATAAAGAGTATCCCAAACTCTGCAATGTGAAATGGGCACTAGGATGTTGGCCTTGTTCTGTTGATTGTGAATGCATTAATCCTGCATATAATCTGGGGAACGGTGCTGTCAAATTTAATCTAGGGGTAAATGTAACCTACATGGTATCTGCTTGATGTTGAAGACTGATTGGCTTCCAATACTACTCATAGTTCAGCCTTTCTTATACAGGCCAGTATCTGTAAATATAAATTAAATATCTGTCTGTCCATATATATATATATATACACACACAAATTAGCCTTTGGTGGAAAGATAGCATACTATACATTTCAGAAGGCCTACCAGTTCAAGTCAAAAATTAATGAAAAGGGTATTTTCATTTGTTTTGTAACATGAAAAATCTCTGAAGGGCATAAGCTTTATGACAATATGTAATTCTTTTTTCTTTTTTTCTTTTTTGTTTTGTAGCACTTGTACAACTCTGCAGCATTCAAGGCTCGGACAAAGGCTAGAAGTAAATGTCGTGATAAAAGAGCAGATGTGGGGGAATTTTTTTAGATTCCCTTTTCATTGGGTTTCAATTTTCATAATTCAAATAAATTTGTAACACTAAATGAATTTTTTTACTTTGTAGTCAGTTTGCAGTTGTGCACGGGTTTGTTACATAGTCTCTAAATATAATGCATGTTGTCGCTTAGTTGTGTGTACATTGTATATAGATGGATGTAACATTTGGTGCAGGGATACATTATAATACCATACATTAGCCCCCCACTAGCTCAAAGGTAGATTATGTTGTAACTGCTATATTAAATGGGGTGGATAACTGTAGTCAAATGCTGTGTGTCAGATTGGATTCTTTATATAAATGTAAAGTAATTAATTGACCAAGTGTTCTGGTAAGAATGTGCTAATAGGAAAAGATGACCATGTTTCTGTGAAGTTATTTTAGTAATTTTTTAAAACTCTCCAATGGTAGACAAGAAATCCCTATGTAAGTGTAATTTTATCCTGACAGGGACTATGAAGTTCAGGAACTTCCACTGACAGTGAAGTAGTGAATGACAAATATTTGTCTCCATGTAAAATAAAAGCAAGATTCTTGTGTTCTGAAATTGAATATTTAATTTTTTTGAATAAAGATGTTTCTCACTGCCTGCTCTCTGTGTAAAAGTAATTATTCCATGAATGAAAAGCTGTAACACTGGCAAAACCTAAAGTATGAAAGGGATGGATTTGTTTATTTTCTGGTTCAGACATGTGCTTGGGGTATTCTCTGTGTTAGTAGATGCTATGTGCAAGTCTACCTTGCTGTGTTTCAAAGGTGTCTTATTCTTGCATGTGGTCTGCACAGCTGCCTAATCTTGATTTGTCATTGCTTCTTTAATGGTCAAAAGCTTTCTTGTTATGGTGCTGCAAAACATATTCTCCTTTATCTTAGAACCATTCCAGCTTCCCTGTATTCATTATGTTGAGAACTACTCTTCTGGTTCTACAGGAGTGAAATATGCTAGTAGCTGAGAACTGTCTTAGCTACTTGGGGTAGGGGGTGTTATGTAATAGAGACACTAAAACCTACATCAGTGGAGCTTCTGAACCTGAAGCTCTGTAAAAGTGCTTGTTTGAATAAACCACCTTAAAAATGTTTGTCACCAGATGATGTAAACATGGTGTTAAAAACAACACTGCCCCCTGAAAACTGGTCTGCTCTGATAAGAGAAAATTTGGTTTGGGGTGGAGTAGGTTTTTTTTTTTTTTCCCTACAAGTTTCTGATTACAGCTGAACCTATTCCAGAAAGTCAATGAATACTAGTAAGTTGTACTTTCTAATTTACTCTCTTTTTTTTTTTTTACCCCTCAATCTACTATGTAAGAACTTGTTTGGCTTGCAAAACACATCATTTGGGCTATGCAAAACCTTGAACTGAAATCTATGATGATGGAGCACATGTCAGTGTCATGCAGGTGGAGAAAAAACTGATCCTTGAACGAGGTGAAGCTGTGTGCCTGTACTTGCCCAGCCCAAGGCCATTCCCTTGGAGCTAAACTGTTCCCTTGAACCTGTTGGTGTCTCCTGTGCCTTCTGCCTGGTCACCTTTGGTGTCCTTTGCCAGGCACAGGTGTCCAGCGTTCCTGCAGCACCTCCTGGCAGGGGCCCAGCAGGTGGTTGCCCTTTTCCCTGTACACTGTAACTGCCAGCTGCAGTGACCTGTGTGGCTTCCAGTGCTGTTGCAGAGGTGACTCTTCGGCAGCCCTGCAGACATCCCTTGGGTTTGCAGACCTTTTTAACTGGAGAGGCCTGGGTCCTCGTCTTAAAATTATTTTGGTGTCAGGAGTTTTTTGGGCATGGATATCACACTGATTTTTTTTTTTTTTTTTCTGGCTTGTACATCCGTTTTTTGATGGAGGACTTCCAGGAGACTCCTACAGAAAGGGAGCAATTCTGAGCAGCAGAACATGTCAGCTTAGGGTGGGAAATATGAGTCAAGAGAATAAATCACCTGTCTCCTGAGAAAGAAATATGTTTATGGGCAGTTTAAAGGGATTCAGAATTTTAGACATGGTATAGCTTCAGAAAGGATTTGTGGTTTTGAGCTGCAGTCCTGCCTGTCAGCTGCCTATCAGTACAGTGTGCTGTAACACTGACTTCTGCCATGTCAGCAAGTAAAAAAAAGATCAAAAGAACTGTCAGCAAAGGAGTAGTTACACTACTCACCACCAGTTGATCAGAATTTAATCTTTGAACAGCTAAGGATGCCAGGCAAATTAGTCCACCACATTATACTGTCCCACTTGAATTCATAAAGTGTATGGGAGAACAGGGGAATAACCCTGCTTTTTCTAGTCTATGACTTTAAAACACTCATGACTGCAATACTGTAGATATGACTCTTCTGCATAGCAAACTGGTTACTCATAGCTGCAGTTGTAGATACTACTCTTCTGCCTAGCAAATGCATTTTAGACAAGCACTAAACCTGAGAGGTTTAGCACTAACCAAAAGATTAGTGAAATACTGATCATCAGTAACAACCCTCATTCTTCATGATGGGATATTATCATGATTCCAATATAATAAAAAAGAGCTGTGTATGTGCTGATTTCTGTTTTAGCACATCAATATTGCAAAGTGAGTATACTTAGCCAAGCTGAACTCTAAATATAGACTGAGAGGGGCAGTCTGTTTCACAGCTATCTTTATGGGTACTGCAGGACTTGATAGGTTCCTATGGGATTAAAAGTAGAGAGAGGAACTGAAGAACAAGTTTTCTTCACGTGATTTTCACTGGCTGATTTCTTCCATACTGGCACATTACCTGAATGTAATTATGTTGTAAGTAATGTTTCATTCTCATATTTTTTTAACCTTTTATATTTCATTTACTTTTTTTTTTTTTTTCTGTGAAGAATTCTCAATGTGTTCTCATTCTAAGGTTTTTTTTTCCACAATGACTTAGGATGAAATTTAAAAGTTGCATTGGGGAAAAAAGTCTTTAGGCAAGGTTAAAGTACAAGATAAACTGAATCCAAGGTCCCAAAGTTTATATTGATTTGTTGGGAAAATAATCAATACTTTTGTCCAGTGACACATGTTTGTATCCTTTCTCCTTTGGCATGTCAATGGAATCAAACAAATTAGTATAAACTTTTTTGAATTAATAATGGTAATCTTCACTGTGTTTACATGTGCAAATACATAATAAGTGCAGAAACATAGAATTCATAATACTAATGAATCAAAGGTACTCACATTTATTGCAGCTCAAGTAGTTAAGAAGAGTGTTCCCTGAAGCTGCAGGGAGGTGTTAATCAAAGTAGAGAAACAACTGCTCTTCTGAATCTAAAAATAACCAACAGCCTTTGTGCATGAAGTGGTAACTTTTGGCATGCAGCTCAAACACAGGGCTCCATAATGACTGTGTTGCCCGAGGATGTGCATGTGGGGAGACAGCAGAGCAGAGCCAGCTCTGGTGGGGACGTGGCTCACAGATTGTGCTGCCTAGTGCCATGTCATGCTCTAAAGGAAGGACCGTGGGCAAAACCATCTGTCCTGAAGTTCCTGCTGCACACCTAAAAATCATAGACTAGGTAAGGTTAACCCCTATCATGCCAGCTTTTCTACATTTTCTTTGTACTTTGAAGCAACACTTCTGAACAGAGAAAAAAGTAAGTTGTAGTCTTTTCTTATGGGCTGTTAAAAAGAAATATAAAGTATCCATACAGTCCTGCCAGTCTCTACTAGCAGGAGAACAAGCCTTGTTGTCAGGATTGTTTTCAGTGCTTAGTCTTCAGACTTACTGAGGTTGATTGAATGTCTACTTTGCAGTGTGCTCAGATCTGGGAGAATTATAGTGATCTTCTGCATTTGGTTTGATGAGGGAAGGAGTGAGGATTTTCTGCAAACAGTTCAAATTTTAGGTTTTTAATTTAAGTGTTTTATTAGGAATCTGGTCACACTCTGTTCTGTATTCCTTGGAGAGGAAGAAAAGGCTGAGAAGCATGTCATGTCAAGAGGACAGTTAACCCATCTAGGATTCAGAAATCACCCTTAGGTGCTTAACACATGTCATCAAGAGAGGTTTGCATCCCACAAAGTGCTGATTTATGTTGGCAGATAAAATTGAACTTGCGAGCTTTATAAAATACTAAATGGGTAAGATGCATTGTACTCCAAATTTAAACTAACATGTGAGGGCTCCCTGCTTACATTCACTAGCAATAAAAACACATTTAGGCTGTGATTCTAAGGTGAGAAAGGAATATCTTAGAATAAAAGGGATATTACCTGGAGGAATATCTTTTTCTTCAATACTTACAAGGGGAGTTTTCAGTGACAAGTGTAGACAAACACGCCTACTTAGAGTGTCTACATCTCCTTATGGCTAGAAGTGTAATTTGTTTCTAGAAGATAATTTTGCAATCAGAGCAGTGTAAAGAAAAGCAAAAGACAGGGAATAATGTGCAATACATAGAAGCTGCCTCCCTTTATACTGCTTATTTTCTATATATAGTCTTCTTCCAAAACTGTATTTATGTTAAGAATCATTCACTGAGTTCATGCACCCAGACTCTGCAGAGAAACTTTTTACTAATTAAACTTAATCTAGTGCTTTTTTTAAAGCAATGGGTACTAGTCTGAAGAAAAAGCTTTTAAAATTTGTGAAAAGTGTGACCACATTTTTCACAAATAATAGCTTCACAGTGATATTCTAAGGTGTATAAACAGACACATACTCTTGTTGCTTATCTCCTACATTCATACCTGCTTTCCCTGGTTTATCTCCCAATTACTTGATGCTGAAAGAAGAGAACCTGAGTGACATCTTTCTGGAAGTATTAGTGACGTTTTGCTTTTCACTGTGGTCAGGATCTCACACCACGTCTTACCAAGTACTCATCAAATCAAAGGATAATATACTAAATATGTACCATTAAAATCAATGCTGGAGCCAGTCAAATTGATACTTTCTCTCTTTCCCCATACACACACGTATGTGCAAAAACACAATGTAAAAATGAAATGTTTTAATCATTGAAGATTTCCAAGAATGAACAAGTGCTATGTATTGAGTTGTCCCTGCCTTCAAGTAAGTGTGCTGGTCCAAATCTCTGTATTTTAAGGATCATTTTGGCTGCTCAGTATTTCCTTAGAACAGGATACCAACTGTTACAAGTTATTTCCCACAGCCGTGTATTAATTTACCTTTTATATTATTGTTTCTTTTAGAGACAATGGAGAGACCTTCCTTGGAATTTAACCTGCCTGATACTCCTGAAGAAGGAAAACTTTATGTAGTTGATTCCCTAAACAACCTAAACAAACTAAATGTTTGCCCAGCTGAATCCCAACTTTCACTAGGTATGTATGATAGGTGATCTGTGGATTTCTAAATATGCAATCCATATTGTGTGTCACTGCTGTCAGCAATCTAATAGGCCAACAGGTATGCCAAGCTGTACTGAAAAATGTAAGAAAAAGATTGAAAATGGCATAATTTAGGCAGATCAGATAATGATTTAGCTGTCCCTGCTGAGTATTTCCACTTTAGGTTCTTGAAAATCCTTGCATTTAGTTAGGGATTTACTTTGAAACCTGAACTTATCTTCCATTTCAGTTGGGATTTATGAGGTGATTTCTTGCAGGATAATGTCTCTAGTAATGCCCAATATACACTGACTAAACAAATAGCATCACAGCTCTTCCCAAGCACTAAAATTCATACGTGGCAATAGAGGCACCTGAGAATTTCTGTTCATTCCTTTAAGACACATCTCCTAAGAATTCAAACTAGTTACCTGAAGTATCCTGTGAAACCTTTAAGCATTTTACTTTCTGGACATTCTTTAGTCACAGTTTCAGTTACGGCTCCCACATTTTTACTGGTTGGGTAAGGCTTTTGCCTTTGATTTCTCACAGAAACAAGAATATTTTCACCCAGTGATAGCTACAATTTGAGTTCTTTGTGACCTAAAAATATCTTAAAACCTGGACCTCTTTAGCAGCATTCCACACAACAATATTGGAGTCTGCTTTTATTTCCTTTATTGTAATGGCAAATTTGAGTGAAGAAATGTATAGATCAACAACTATGTTGAAATGTGGCCATAATTTAATCATGCTTTTAATTATGGGTCTTAAATATTTTCTCATTACTTCTGTTTCCAAGTCCCCTAATTTTCCTAATCCAACTAACTAGAGTGGTGCTGGTTTCTGCATTTAATGTAAATATTTTAGACATAAAGTACTAATTCCTGATATGCAATTATCTTGATATTGCCACTTCTACACATAGAAAATAAGACAATGGCATAAATCAATTTTAATTTTAAGAAACTCCTTTCAGTGTGACTGTTTTGCTTTCTTTTGCAATTTTATTGGACAATATTATTTACTTTTCAGGTAAATGTACAAGATTCTGTGGAAACATGATTCTCTGGAATAATCACATAAATGCACCTCCCTACATTTCAGCAGTAAAAAATGGTAGCTTAATAAGTATTTTATTCATAAATTTGTAAAATCCTTTGGTCCCTTCTAGGATTATTCTTTCAATGTAGCTTTTAAGCTTGGAGAGTCTGTAGATATCCCATCCTGTCAGCTAACTTACTCAGCAGAAGAAAACTCTGGTTCTCTAGCCAGAAAATCAGAGTCATGTCAAAAGCTGTTTAAAATGCATATGCTGTTTGGTTCCTTCAGTAGGAGCCATGCAGTAATTTCACGTTTTAGATGATGAAATGTTCCCACTGCTTGCAGTTTGACAAGAATGTGTGCTCACCAATTCCTCACAGCACTGCAGCCTGGCATGTTCAGCCTGATGGAATAGTAAGAAGCATTCATTAGGCAGAGTGAGCTCAGACCGCTTTTGAGACCACTATTGATAACTTAGGATGCTTGGCAGGCAGCAGAAGCAGGCCCTGCCTATCCTTATTATTCTGATTAGAAAGCAGTATTGGTGCAGACATTTATTATATGGTGAATTTGTTATGAATGCTAAGGGAATAAGAATAGAGCCTCAAAGGAGAAATATGAAAATATTTCAGTTTAATCATGGACAAGAATGTGTTAAACACAAAATAAATAAAAACAGAGATATTCCCAGAGATCTACCAGCTCAGTAATTGCTCAACCCTCGGTAAGGTCATTATTAAAGTTCTGTGATGGCATATGCAACCATTCTTCAGCTTTATCACTAGAGGCTCAGTTGAAAGACCTCAGAGATTTCCACCAGCTAAAACAAGAACATGACCTAGAAATACATTTTTCACAGATGCACACATTACTCTCCCTTTCAGAATGGCAAGAGAGCAATTACAGAAGGATAAATTACAGTAATTTGCATGTAATTTTAGTATGCATGAGACTGACACCAAAGTGAAATTACATTAGCTTTCTCCTCCCTCCAAAATAGAAAATAAACCCAAATCTTTGTAAGTTATTACAGTAGTATACAAATTTAAGATTAAACAAATCTGGCTCAAGTGTAAATTTTTTACATTCACATGAATTTCCTCATGGTATCCACTTGACTTGTTATCTTTGGGGCTTGCTGCCACCTCACAGTGATTGCAACTGTTTCTATGAGAGAAACTGCTGAATTTCCCTATATATGCAACACATTCTTTAAAAAGCAATGAACTGGCTTGCTGAGCTAATTCAAGGTCAGCATTGCAAGTGCCTTTCCTTTTCCCCCTCATTCCTCATGTGCTTAAAGGGCAACACCTGTATTCTCTGTGAGAGTCTGTTTCATTCTTGACAATTGGCAGGATAGGTGCCTCTATTTTTACTGGAATGAAACCAACAAATCCTAAAGATGAAGAAGAATATTGAAAACATTTGCTTTAAGATAAAACAGTCAAGATCTAAATTAATTCTATCCAATATTAGGGGCTTAACTGAGGTGTTTACTTTGGGAGATTATTCATCCCAGTGATACTTCTCATTAAACAGAAAAATAAACGTATCTAGAGGACGAATATGTATGATGAACCGGTACATTGGTTTTCAATATGAATTTTGCTTTCTTCACTTTTGAAAAGGTTAAATTCAATCAAGCCCTTACCAATCTGCCTGATGAAAACTTCATTGCAACCTTTGTACATGTAAAACAATTGTAAAACTCTGAACCATAAAACAGGTCAGCTTCAACAAAACACTGTATTTCAACACAGAAATGTTTTTGTTGAGCATGTTCTAACAGCTATAACAGATTTATAATTTTTTATATTTTCAAATTTCAAATTCAAATTGAGTTCATAAAGTTGATTCCTTTCCCTTTCATGAAATAGCACAGGAAATAAAATCTGTTGGCCAAATACACGATGTATTCTCATAATTTCATGATACCAGAAGCATTTTGTCATGCTTATCCTAACCAGCTTTAAAAAACTGTATCACCAAATGATTTGTCATCTCTTAACAGATGAGGAAGAGAACACTGGTGGTACTGGAGAAAGTATGGCAGAGAGCAATGCAAGAAACCAGTTTTTGTTCTTCATCACCTTTATTCTTACTTTGACCATCAGTTTGGCGCTTGTTTCATTTGTAATATTCTTAATATGTAAGTAAGCCAAAGAGCAGTTCTTCAAAATGTAGGGCAAACTGAAAAAAGAACTTTGCTGTAATGTGTCATGCTACCTTGTAACATGCTACTCCTGTATTTGCATGGTCAAAGGCTTTCAGCTGGTTCTGGGCAGTGGGTTGTGGTCCTGGGGACAGAAGCACAGGCAAACAACACTTTCTCAGGACTAAAAGGCACAATACTATTCTTAGTGCTAAGGATTTGTGAGCTTCAACACCCGTGAAGAATTTCTCTCAGCAGCATTATACTGTGTTGCTAAAAATGCTGACTAGAAATGAAATTAAAACTTAAAGGTAATTGTATGGCAGTGAGATACTTTGGCAATGTGCCTTCCATTCCTTTCCAGGTAAAACTCAGTATTGGTGTCATTCCACTGAAATCAGAGTTCCATCCAGGCTAACACTTAAATCAGGCTACCTGAAGGAAGACCTGACCCTTTGTCATCAAAGTACTGACTGGAAATTGATTTAGAACTAAGAAAGTCTTAAGCATAAGAAAAAGAATTAGACATTCATCAGGATTTGCATGTAGCATTGAATCTACAGACACAATTACTGTTCAGTCTTTAGGACTGATCAGGCAGGCTTAGCTGCAGACATGGCTGGTTAATGGAAACCTTGTTATCTTGGGGTTTTTTGAGCTAATGATATTGAATAGAATCTGAAGTGCATTATTTCAATTTACAAGAATATTTTGGAAGAATTGAAACCCATATGAAATCAAGATTTCTTATATCCTGTAGTAGGGAATTTGCTGAAATATAGCGAAAACCCTGATTTTTCTTTTAAGCCAGAAAATCCTAACCCTTCACTATATTTTCTTACAGGCATTCAAAGAAATATCAGACAAGTAAAGAACATAAAGTGTGTTTTAAGTAACATGATTGTAAAATCCTAAGTGAAATACCTCATACTTGAATTTCAGATTTATTTAACATGGAGCTGCTAGAAGTAGACCCTTGGTAGAGAAAAATTGGTATTGTGTTGTTCTAGTGGAAAAATTATAAACTAAAGTGAAAAAAATTCTTACAAGAATTAAAGCAGTTTGCTTGGGCTCAGGTTGGTAGAGACCTGGGCTTTTGAAACTGATTTCCAGTGGTGTTTCAGCTTATGTTACAATGTTTTATTAGCTACATATAGATATAGTGTGTTCTATAATCTGAGGTGTTTGCAAAACACATGCATAGATTCATTTAGCATTGCTACTGTTAAGCTTCAAAACCCATGGGTAATTTTTTTAACTTCAGAAGGCCAAAATAAAAATAGCTCCAAAAGTGCATATTGGTATGCTAGAGGAGGCAAAAATGTCAGTATTTCACAAGAATTTTTCTTTTCTTTAAAATAAAATATATGCACATGCCACAAATTGGATCTTGAAGCTCCTAAATAAGACATTTCCTTGTTGACACTAATGGTTATGCTCCTGAAAACTGCAAAAATTATCTGAGCCATATATGATTTTATTACTCTGCACTAAATTAAAAAAAAAAAAATCAAGCAAATAAGCAAAAAAAGAATGTAGTGGGCAGATAAACCCACCAGATGTATAACTTCTTATTATTAGGTTCTGCAGTTGTTTACCTGTTTAATATTTTTAGTCATCATTATTCCTCACAGGAATACAAGTGAGGGTAATGATGCTCTTGACTTACATGTTACCAATTTAACGTGGTACATTCTCCTTTTCAAGTTCAAACTAGAAATGAGTTGGACCAAATATCAAGCAGACTACTATCTGAAAAGAAGAACATAGAAGAGCTGAAGAAACTTAACAATATTATATTAAAGCATCTGAATCAATCCAGAATTAAGGAATAGCCTTCTGATCTTCATGATTACCTCTTTACCCATACTGAGCTCAAAGTCCTTGGACAATAAATCTTCTCTGGAAAGAAATTCAGCATATTCATAACTCAGACATGCTCACATATGGCACACAGGTTGCTGAAACATGGTTGCTGAAACATTGCTGGAAAAGCCAGCTGAATGAAAAATATTAGCAATTAGTATTTTCCCTGTTTTATGTGGATATAGATTTGTAATACTAAGCCCACAGGATTCACAATAAACAATGGATTGTCAGTTTGAGGCAAGATTTCCAGATTCCCTGTGCATTGTAAATCACCGGAGAAAGGGCCTAGTTTTATTTTAAATGTAAGTGAATGATCACAGAAAATCACGAGTTCTATTCACATGATTCCAGCATGACCTTGTTCACTTAATCATTCTTCTGTTACCTTTGTACAAGCTTTCTGTTTCTTTCTATTACTATTTGTATTTAAGGATAACTTCAGATTTCATAACTTATAAATAAATCCATTTCTGCTCTAGAGTTTTGTGGTTTTCCATTCTGCGCATCTAAATATATTGATATGCCACTATTTTTGAGAAAAAAAGCACTCAAACTTGAATAACAAAAAACCCTTTCATAAGATGCCATAATCAGTCCACATTTATATTGACAGAATGAGTATCCTCTTGCCTTACACTGAAAATGTGTTTAGAGGACTGAGTCTGGTAATGTCACAGCATCATCACAGCCACTCTATCTCATAGCAATGCCAAAACACTGTACTCACAATTTGCAGGTACAGCCCAAGTGTTTTTATGAAGTCATATGGGGAAAATACTACAAGTTCTTGTACTCCTCCCTGTAGTTTCTGCTGGTCACCGTCAGAGAAGGGCCAGATGAAATATGGTCAGAACCTTCATGGTTTTAATGTCGTGCGGTATCTCAGAGGCTAAAAAGAGCTTAAACTTATCATTCTCATCCAATTCTTTCTTATATCTTTTGGACAGTTTTACAAAAAAAGTCATCAAAGTCAACAGCTAACATTTCAGTCTTCAGAGTTCATTATAGTCCTTTCTGTGATGACTACTTCATTGTCTGCAACAAATGGAAGAACTAAGTCCAGGACGATTTCTTGGTATCATTTTACTTGAATTTGCCCACCAATTCTATTCCTGCTATTATGGGTTTTTTTCCTTTACACTTAGGTTTTACATCACCTTTCTATTTCCTGATTTTTATTTTCCTGATGTATCAAGTTAAGTCAAGTTATTCACATGAAAACGGTGAAGATTGATTTCAAGAGTTTATTACTCCTGCTGTTACTTCCCAGCTGCAATTTTAGTTATCTGCTCTGGACATCACAAGTAGTTTTTACAAAGGTGACTCTAATACAACTATCAGAGTGAAAAAATAAGTGTAAGGAAAGGAATGCTAAAAGTCTAACCCAAACATCTTTCTGTAAATGCTGTTAAATGATAAAAGGTATCTAAAGACTAAAATTGTGACACTTGCAGTGTTTTTTCTCTGTTCTTCTCTGAGCTGTCACCTGATTTTAGTGACAGTATTAATTTCTCACCTCTCCCACTCCCATTGTAGCTACTGTAACTGCTCTCAAGCTCTGCCTTGCATTGACACACATCCATACTTGTGAGCCAGGGAGAAACACTAGTATTTGGCACTCAGTGTATCTCAAATGTGGAATTGTCACATCCCTCATTGCAGCAGCAGTTATCAGAGCAGTGGTCCCCTAAAACTGATACCAAGAGCCCATAGACTTTTTTTTTTTTTTTTTTTCCTAGCAGGAAATTGTAAAAAAAAAAAGTGTGGTAGAGCAACAGTCTCCAAAGGTTAGATTAGAATGTTGTTTCATTCCATGGTTTCATCCTGCAAGATGTGTGTGACCTCAACTGCCCCAGACTTATGACCAGCTGAGTCATAATAATGTATAGGCGTGCTCAGGATCATACAGGACTGAGGCTTCAAATGATACTTTTAATATTTAATTGCTTCTTCACTTGCAGTGATCAGCAATTAAGATCAGTGACTGAAGAGGTGCAAAGGTCAAATGCTGATCCTGCTAGTGCTGCTAAAACACACCTAATGTTGGGAGATACTTGCAGACACAGAGGGTGTGGGGCAGCAGTGATTAAGGCTGCCTCTGGCTTCTCAGCTCAAGTTAACAATAGTTAATATCCATTTACTGTCAGAACTGCTTTTATATGATGTCAGAGCAAGGGCTGAGAGCAGAGTACCACAATCCCTCTATCAACACTTTCTGGAGGAACCCCTACAATGTTCTTTAGGGGAACTTTTCTGTCTAATCTACTGACAGTTGAGTAGTCCTGAAAGCCAATACTTGACTCAAAACCTCCTATAAACTTGACTCTGCAGTGAATTTCAGCTCAGTTCATAGGCCCATAACCTTATCTCAAATAAACAGCTAAGTAAACTCCAAGCTCCAGCTGCATGTGACGTAACCTCTGTGCTGTATATGGATGTTTCAATATCTCCTGCAGACGTAGGATAAGATCTGTTCCTGTATAGCTGCACATCTCAAGGGCCTTTGCAATGTCTGGTGTTACAACCAGAGGAAGATGATCTGACAGCTTCATCTTACGTAGTCACAGCTGTTCTTGGTAGTACTGCTTCTTCCCTTTTTATCTTATTTGCAGGCTGTAGAGGTACATATCCAAAGTAATTAATTCACCTTTAAGTAATTCCACTGTAAATGAAAAGAGTGCACAGAGGGTTCAGATAGATTTCACAACCCTCACCTGCTGCAAGTACTATCATTGCTGAAACAACAACATGGTTTCAGGAAATTTTCTGCTGAATAAACCTGGACATTGCTAGAAAAATGCTGGTAAGCAAAGAAGAAAAGATGGAATATTTAACCAATAGTATACCTCCACCTCCCAATCAAAGGCATCATCATGCCAATCATCATGCTGAATCTTTAGGTTGTTAGGTAATATCAGTAGAAAAAATACTTTCTTGCCTCAGTTAGCTTGCTGATAAATTCACTCCTTTGTTCCAGGTATACACATCAGCCCTTGTTCTTGTTAGCCTCAAACCATCAGACAGCATCTGAGTAGAGAACAGTATCTGACAGTATCTGTGGGGAGAATATGCATTACTAAATAGTAGAGGGTCAGCTGGGGCAAGCATTTGCTTGCCTTGCTTGGGGTCATGTTACCTTGAGAACATCAGCTTGTACTTGGCCTTGTGCTGCTCTAGAAAGAAACAGCTCAAGCTCAATATCTGCAAACAGCATGTGAGGACTGAGGGTAAAACATCCTTTACACACACCTGTCCATGTCAAGAGTTACATAAATCTGAACTGTGGGCACCTTCAACTCAAAATAAGGCACAGATAATAAGAGGGATTCCGAGAGACAATCAAATCCATCCCTCTGCCTGACAGCAGCATTCAATTTACTCCAACAATTCCTAACAGAAGCTTGTCTATTCACATTGTAAAATATCCAGATAATGGACTGCCACGGGCCTCCCCTTCTAATGTTCAACTAAAAGAATATGGTTAAATCTATTTTTCCTGAAGTCTAATTAAAATTTTCCCCGCTGAAATTTAAGCCCATTATCAAATGACCAATTCCTTGTGAACATGAAAAATTGTTTGTACCTTCCATTGTTTCATTTATTTTATATTATACTAAATGCAAATCAATGGTTAAAACCTTAAGAAAGCTTTTTTGCCCCCTGAGATACCTGGAATTTTAATCTACCATTTATTCTTAAAGTACAGTATGAGTTCAGTTCATGTGCTTTGTTCACTGGTAACAATACAAAGTGGAACAAAAGTTATAAAAAACAATAACGATGATGTGCAAACTCTGAATGTGGAAAAAGAGAAAATACCAGAAGTGGCAAAAGGATTGTCACAAGTTTGTTAGACCACACGCTCTCGAAGGTGATGTGTTTTGTGTGGCATACAATACAAACTGTTCAGGAATCCTAAATGTGGTCAAGGTATTTGAAAAATGAACAGAGTGGAATAGTGTTGAACAAAGACAAGAACTATTGTCAGAACACGAAGTGTATGAAGAACAAAATCCCACTTCATCTGGTTTTGAAGTCTTTGAAGATCAAATATTTACTTTTGTTTTATCAAAGCATAGTCATGTAAAATTACACAACACTGCCCGCAAATATGAACACCAGGTCCAAAATTCCAAGTTTTCTTATTAATTTCACCCTGCCTCACTGGGGTTTTTGTTCTTGAGATACAAAACCTACCCCATTGGAAATGGTAGCAAAGCTCCATGACAACTTTACTGTTTTAAAAAGATCTATTTTGACAGACAAAAATGCAACTAGTTCTAATTAGAACTCAGATTATTAAAACATTTGATAAAACAAATGCCAAGTAGTAACTAAAAATAGATTTATGCTTTGACTAGTAACTGAAAATCATTTGTCTGAGAAGATGTTTATCTTGGTCTTATAGGCTGCAAGTATAATTATCTTGGAGATGTTGGTGAATAATGAAAGTTGGATCAAAACCTTAGATCTCAGCCCAATGCTACTGGGATTAAGGGGATTGTTCTTTTCAATTAAGAAAAAAAAGCACATTCAGTCCATTACATGTTACAGTTCTTATTTTCCTGACAGATTAACAAGAATAATAAGATTTAAAGAGAGGGATGGAGGGGGTGAGTGTACTGTCACTTCCTCTGGGATACATAAGAAATAATAACACAAAAGCCAAAGAACTTAGTCCTATTCAAGAAACCAATGAATCTTAGAATTTAAGAAAAGGCTTTTATAGACTCTGTTTCCGATTCTTTCTCTGGTTTCTGGGCCACACTTCAGCAATTGAAATGCTGTCCACGATTCACTGATGAACCAGCAAAACCCCTGAATGGTAGTGAGAACCTTCCAGTAGAAACAGCCACAGCACAGTGCTGCTGCTAATTTGTCACTGTGAGGCAAACCACATTACACACAAGGGTGAAAGGACAATTTAAAAATCGATTGCCTGCAAATTTAAATATATATTAATAATTATGGGTTTGCTTTTTAGCTCTGCACTGCTCATTTAATCTTAATATCTTCTTCATCACATTACTGACTTTGTAAAACAGTGTCTGTCTGCAAGGTGACACAAAATGCTGAAACTCCCAGACACCCTTTACTCCTCAGCAAAAGCTCATGGATAATTCATTAACTTCTCATTTTTAAGGTGGATTTTTAGGTTGTTTTGTTTTGTTTTGTTTTTGGTGGTTTTTGTTGCTTATTTATTTATTTATTTTAAGCTTGAGCTGTTATTTTGGTCTGCAATAGCTTTTAGGTTGCACTTCTTGCATGGATGTGATGAATCAATGCTCCAGCTGCCTGAGGTCGTAGTGTTTAGGAGCTGCCTTGAGACTACATTCAGCTTCATGAAAAAATCTGCAGCAGGAGGATTCCCAGCTATGGGCACCGAGTCAGCTTGCGGGAGTGTATGAAATCCAGGGAACTGATTCAGCATCTATAAATAAATACTGATGGACTCACTTAAGGTCTTCTCCTCGAGGA